GGAAGTAGGTAAATTGGATGAGCCTTAACAGCACTCAATTCTTATTACTTCAATAACTTGATTGCCTTCGTATCATGCGAGCGAATCTGTGCCAAATACCTGACCTTGCCATTAAATATACTGTATGGAAGGCGCCGTCCTTCGTAAGACTAATCACTGCGTTGCTTCTCTTCCTCACGCCACCCGGAGTTTTGTTGTGGTACAGGCTCGTGTGGCTACTCACCGTTCGGAACTGGACGCCCCTCTTCTCATCAGCTGCACTCATACCATTCACAGTTCTAGGCGCCCTGACGGACATTTTTCCAGCTTGGCTGAGTTCTAGCGCATACTAGCTCGGGACATCTTGGATATCGACGCGTTATGCGTCATTGTCTGGACAGAATTGGCGACGGTGTCAGAAACGCAGTCCTACTGGCCTTAGCTACCCCTTGGCAACAATCTTGATGACATCTTGCTCACTTCATCTTCCTCACTGGCTTTGAAGCCGTTTGGGTAGAGCTGATGAGAAGAACGATCGGGAACGGAGCCGGAGGTTAAGAGCAACAACGCCGAAGAGCAGAAGCCAACATTCTGTTGGTACTATTTTTGGGCAGAAAATTACTCCTGGATTCTCGTAAACTCCGTCTTTCTTGACATACGCTTCGGGCCATGTCCAGTTAAGGGGGTCGATTATGACTGAACATTTATGTGTCTTCTTTCTCGTGTACGTTTCCAATCAGGGTTGAATTAAGTCCCTAAACATTTAGATTCTCCATTATATCATGTAATGAGACCACATAAGCTATGTCTTTGGTGTGGCGGAAAATAATGCCATTAGTTACTAGACAGCGGTTTTCGATTCAGAATTGAAACCTCGTATTGAGGCTTATGGCGCTCCTATCCCATCGGGTGCTGAATGGCGTCAGTATAATACCACTTAGGCAAGTGGGTGAAAAAATCGATGTCCTGCTCTTCATCTTGATAAGCACCCCTTTCACTACTCATATCATAGTTGCTACCTATCTGTGTCAAAGTCCTTCTCACGTATATACGCAGAGAAATACACTCTATTTAATAGATATCAAGGCTAGTAATAATAGCAGTATTAGTAACAATAGCGTCATTAGTGATCATAGCGATGGAACTGCATGTCGAATGTGTCGAGTGGAAATCGATTTTGTCACCCGCTTGTTAGGGTAGTACTGAACCCCGTTTTATTTCTCTATTTTCCGTGTTTATTATCTGAGATCCGAATTATGCATCCAATAACAAGAATCAGAACGGAGTGTGTATTGGAGAAAACCGGGTACCAACGTATTGACGTCGTTCGGCACCCGGTGGGATATGAATCCTCTGATACTCTACTAACTCAACCGCGTAGTGCCTCACATAATGCATGCAACGCGAAAGTCCCACTGAGATGTTCTTGGCATTCAGAACAGCCAATACAGTGCGTTTAAGACCATCAATTCCGTTTGTCACGAGTAGCACCTCGCCGATTGGCACCAGACAAGGTATAAGTATGCAGCATGTGTTTGTGATAGCTTTGATGCATACAATTCTGCCATTTTCAGGTTTGATGTTACACTGGGGCGCACATTGCTGCAATGCAGAGGCGATTGGAGAGGCTATTGATGCAGGCGTTGTGTGGCCTCGCCTAGGAATACGAAGCGATCCATCGGCTGAAAAAGCAACGTGTAACATCGTATTATTATTGATAGGTTCCGGGGAACCATTCGCGCTGACTAGGTATTCTAGGGTATGTATAAAAATCGTCTCGTTTCCGGATCGCGAAATTATCATTTTAGGCACAACGGGAGTTCATTGAAATCGTCTTGCTGCTTGCAAATTGCAAGAACTCACATTCAATTGATACATCTACTGAAACCCAACTACAGTACTTGAAAATGGTCTCTTTCAAAAGTCTGTTGCTGTTGGTCCCCGTCATTCCCCAGCTGGTAGTTGCGACGTCATGCGACTACGGGTCCTGGTACATCGAAATCAACCTTGCAGCAGGCGCTCAAGGCAACCGACGCGGAGACCTTTATGCGGAGCATTCCAAGACCCCAGGCGTGATCAGTCACTCAGTATGGATCTATGACCCCCAGACAGAGTTGACTACCTATACCGCGGAAGATGCGACCTTAAACAACACCCTTATTTCGGTTCTTGGCTTGCAGAGTACGTCTATTACACCAAAAGGTGGCACGAGATGGATTAAAGCTAATGGTCATCACAGATTTTGAGATCGAGCAGACTGTCCTTGGGATCCCGTTGAAGGGATCTGGGCTGATCGACATGTACTTCAGCCCGGCTGCAAATGGCCGCGGCGGCAAGGGCAACACAACGATTATTTCGGAGTTGAACGATTGAATCAGTGTGGCGGTACCACAATTTCATATCGACCCTATGTAGCTTAGATTGCTTCTCAGGTTAGCTCACGATAATTCGGGACATGGGTATGCCAGTCATAGCCTCATAGGTATCCCGAATTCGTCTTTTTGGGCAGCAAGATGCCCTTGACACGCTACATGATGTGTACATATGAGACAAGAACATCCTTTTGGCAAATTTCGCAAGATTTACACTCAAAGAACAGACAGCTTTAGTTCAGAGATTACTCATCTTTTATGGGAAACCTTTCTGCTGTACTTAGTCTAGATTCACGCCCTACGATTGGTGGGGCGCGGCGCAGAACTTGTCTGATGGCAGTTCGAAATTGAGTGAATAGTAATCAGGCCCCCCAACACCCTCGGCAGCGAGAGAAATGACGCTTCCCCCACAAAGTCCCAACCCACGCGTGCAGTTCGTACAACATGTTATGTTGGAGGGTGGACCACGGAGAGTTCCTAAAAGAACGTCGATGGAGCACATGTGTCCCCGTCCGCGATCCTGAACAGTGACAGCATCCTTTCCGTACTTGGCTGGCAATTTCCAATAGTTATGGGCAACCAGAGAGCCAAAGTAGTTTCAAAGAGACGTGGGCGGAAATCGCCAACGTCTGACGACGCCAACGACGATGACGTGCGCAAGGTCAGTATAGCCACCGCCTGCTTTCTGCTCGTAAATTTTTACATTTACTGTCGCACCTCTCCATTGTATCTCAAGCATACTGCAATTGACTACTGACATGTTCAAGATCAGGAGAGAAAGGAATCGCGAGGCACAACAAGTATTTCGAAAACGGCGACAAGCTGCAGATGTAGCACAGAAGGAGCGAATCGAGAGGTTAGAGAACGTTGTAGAGAACATGACGCTCCTCTTCATTGACCTCTTCGACGAGGTCATCGGAAACAAGGGTGTACTGAAAAAGCAGGAGGATCTTCTCGCCCTCTTTCAAGACTCAGCGATGCAGTTGAAGACAATGGTGCAGCCCATCACTGATGACGACGACAACGATGATGGGAACCCGAAGTCTGGGACCACGCGGTCTACCGATGTCCATGAAAGATCTTTTTGTTCTCCGTCGGCCTCATCGAGTCAACAAAGCCCTTGGAGGCAGAACGCCGGCGAGCCCGACCGCTCGAGTCCTTCCAAAGGCAATAACAGCGGCGAAGTCCACGCTTCACCTGCGGAGACAATGCCGGCACCAGCTAATGTAGGACATCTTGAGGCTCTGGACATGCCACATATATTGATCACGAGATCAAATTCTCCTTCCCAAGCATTTTGCCTTCAACTACTAGAAGCGACTCTATCTCAAGCATGCTTGATACTAGCCGGCTGTCTTCCCGTATCACCAGTCGATTTTCAGACCATTTTTGGCATTACATTGCAGTACCGTTCAAGAGAAGAACAGCTAAGTCAAGTGCGCTGCCTGCTGGGCTCGTATACAGCAAAGCGCCTGGCAGCAGGGATGTCTCCAAGGGAGTCTGGCAGCGGCTGGCGGGATCAACATAGCCTACAGCTGGGATTCGGGCTGGTCGCAGAATACGAGGCAGATGTGGTACATGGCAATGACCTCCCACCAGGGTTTCTTACAGCACTTCAAGTTCAGAAGCAATTGCAAAGCCTTGGTGCACGAAAGCGGGGGAGTAACACTCTCGAAGTCAGCATCACTTCGCCGGTGGAGAGTCCTGATGTTACTGCACATGTTGTCGGGTCAACGCTCTACGAACGCACCCCTCAAACCACCGATTTTGGCATCGCCAAAGCCTTGACTTTTCAGCTGAACGTATCATTGCTCATCGCAAATCTTACAAGTTCGGCAAAGTGCTTTTTGACTGGGCCGGCTTACTCTCAACTGGGCTTTTTCAAGGCGGTGGAGGCGTCAATGATATCAGTCAGTGACCCACCAGCCGGCGAATCGATGTTGGATCATCAGCCACTTTGAAGCATTTCTTCTACAATTACTCTGATTTGTGTCTGATATCACTGCGGTAATAAGATTTAGAAATCTACTTGGTATGAAGAATCATTCACATGGCGAAGGACACATGTAGGCGACTTCTGGGGGACAATGTGCAACCCTAAGTCTTCTTCGCCGTAACCATTACTGCATTAATTTCTGTGAATTTGTGAAGATATCGTATGAATATTTAATCTGATCTCTCCAGAGATTAGGTTCCTTCGCGTACGTCTTTGAAGCGGTTCCCAGTCGTGGTTTCCTCCATGATTGGAGCGACAACGTTGTTTGGACCTCATGGCAGTTGTTTCCTGCAGCTGGCAGGACTCCGATGAATTCTCTTTTAGCCCTTCAAGACGGACATAAGAAGTTCTCATTTACCAGGCGTGATTGAGGCTTTCACAGTCACCCCCAGGGTAGGACAATGATTGGTCTAGGCTGCTGAAAAGGAAGGGGGCAGGCAGTGGACCAAAGGCGAACACAGATGAACAAGATGCTCATCGCAAGCAGTCTTTAACGGAACCGTTTGCTTCTATGTTTGTTTGGGCAGACTCACAGGTTTAAATGATGGGATGTTCATGGATAACGAGGAATACCAGAGAGATGGCGTAGAAGCAATGCAGGAGGCTGCAGTAATAACACTCCATAAGACAGGCAGTAAACTCTTTCAGACATCTCAAACAAATGGTCTCCACTGCTCCTCACACCAATCCCAAAACTTCGTAGTGTATCCTAGACCGCCGTCTGCGCTGGTCTTCATCGCATTGATAATGTCCTTCCGCGGGCAGTCCGAGTCTTGACGAATCCGTCCCCAAGGGATCACGTATGCGCCATTATTCTCGAGAGATATCTCTGGTGACAGACCAGCAAACAGCTCGGTATATCCGCCAAACTTGGCTTCGTAGAGCAACGGATTGATGAAGAACATGGCCAAGGCAGGCGTCCCGGCGTATGAGCCAGCCTTGAGGTTCCCAGGATTCTGCGTCACAGAAACGATATCGGGATACCGGGTGGCCATTTCGCGACCTAGCATCCAGTTACCGATCTTCGATACAGCGTAGTTCCGAGTGCGGTCTGAGGTGCCCTTTTCAAGAGTGCTAAAGTCGATGCCGTTGGTGGGCGAGGATGCATCACCCAGGAAGCTTGAGGTCCACACAACGCGCACCGAACCGCGCGGAGCGTTGGTACCAACAGCTGCACGTAGTTGAGGAACCAGGAGTTGCGTGAAGAGCTGCGCTGCGATACAATGCATGCCAACCATAGCTTCGAAGCCCTGTTTTGTTCGCGCGCCGACCTCGACTCCCAGTGCGCCGGTCCCAGCATTATTCCACAGGACGTCTAGTTTCGATTCTTGCTGGGCAAAGGATGCGGCGGCAGCCTTCACACTTTCGAGGTCGTTGAGGTCGAGAAGGAGGATTTTGATATTACCGGGGTTTTCGGGCGCGGCGCTGGTGATTGCTTCGATGGCCTTCTCTGCTCGTTCCTACGTATTCGGCGAACCGGATTGTCAGCGCCGAAGCTAGAAGCAAATGATGGCAATGCTTGTTATGCGGGCCGAGTGAAGATGGATGACCGTGCACCACTCTTGACATGTGGACTATTACAGGCTTAAACTGACTTTGGATCTCGACGCCATATAGATAGTGGCACCGGTAGCGTATAGGATCTTGACAAGCTCGTAGCCCACGCCCGCATTGCCACCCGTGACGATGAAAACGCGGCCAAGTTGTGACGGCAGTGTATGCTCGGTGAAGCTCGGTTTTGGGGGAAACCATTGTGAGCGCATGTTGCGCACAGAAGCAAGCGACATGATTGCGACCGGTGTATGAGAAGATGTGGCTGGCTAGTCGACGTCGCCGTGTGATTGGAATTACATGCCGCAGAAAAGCATAGGCTGGACAATCGAAGGGCTTTACACTCTTTATATCGGAGCGGAATGTCTGTGCCGCAAATGACGAATCTGAACAAACAGGCGTCTCCGTTCTCTGTTGGTTTGCTTCATAACCTTACCTCTCACGAAGTCCGGGCAGTAGATTGGTTGGGAGCGGGAACGGAAAACAACGGATCATGTTTACCCTGCAATTCGTTGTCTCCTGCAGCCATACCACGCATAAGATGAGCTTGGTGTCACACCAACCCCTCCGCTCGGAGCGGACTTTGGGCGGACTTCTCACCAAGTACTGGGCGTCGTCTATCATTCAGGGTTTGTTTCCCGTTTGTTTCAACCTGTGCTTTTCTTCAGTCCTTTGAGATCCGCGCGGGCGAGGAAGGCTCTGTCGCGGCACAAAAATTGTAATCAATTCTTATGACTGTGCACAAGGCAGGTAAGTGATTCGTATGCCTACATTTTGCGCTTATTCTCTCCTATGCCTGTCTTCCCTTTGCATTTTCGATTATGCAAGACGGCACAACCTTTCTCGACTGTGACGACATTATCCAGACTTTCCCTGCAGACCTCAGCAGCTATTAGGAAATTCCTACGAGGGCATTCAAACGTCCCGTATTTTTCCAAAAACTAATCACCAGGTCGAGTTCCAGGGAAGCAACGTGCAAGCTTCACTCTGTCGAGGGAACAAGGGGCCAATGCCAAGAGAAGATTGGTTACAAGAGACGAAGCATGTCTATCATGAAAGAGACGCAGCATGGACGTCTTTGATTCAGATGCTGCCGCAAAAACGACGCCGTTGATTATTACAGGCAGTATCCAAGGCCATGTATACCCTACGACAATTGCAAACAACAATGTATATGTGATACGATATTCCGGATTTTCTACAGAATCCACCTCTTCTTCATTCAGAGCCAGTTGCAGTCTGTGTCGATTTTGTTGGTGCAGTTTCGGCGCTTTAGCTCTCTGCCCCAGTAAGTTGCCTTGCACTTGCAGTTCCAGCAGCTGTGGTAATAGCAGACGTCGTCGCCATAGTAACAACTCATTCCGTTTTCGACCCAACAAACTTTCTGGTCTATTATTAGAATTGCCTATTCCGATACTTGTGGGGAGACGCCTACTCTTGCAAAGATCTCGTTACGTGGCTTGAGGGACACATTTTCCTCGGATTGGAATGGGGCGGCCATGGTGAAGCTGGTCGCTCTAAGGGCAAGAAGGGCGACTGAAAATTTCATCCTGGCGTCGGTAGTATGTAGTACGCGAGAGAGAAGGTGAATCGATGTATTCAAACTGTTGTGAAGCAATCAAGGAGGAGTGCTGAACTCGCATCTGCTATAAGTACTTCCCAGAAAAGATCTCTTTGGCAACACTCTCTAGGAGAGTATCTCTGCGAGGGCGTGATCTTAAAGTTCTTTCCAGCGTAAATTTCCGCGGCGTTCTCCTCGAGTCAGTCGGATATGCGATCGCCATTCTGAGTCATGGCCTAGGGTGAGTACGAAAGCCAAATGAGATATCTACGGAAGACAGCCCAAGTCCACCCTGCCCTGCAGATAGATAGTGTAGGGCAGGATTCAAAGCCTCACAAAGAATGCCATTAGCTAAAATCATAAAAGATGTTGGGCAGAAAAAAGAAGGCAGAAAGTAAAATTTGTAAGAAGGCGCGAAGAATACGTGAAATGACATGTAAGTCAAACCCCCCACTTCCTGGCACCCCCCTGTTTCTGGCACCCACAAAAACGATGGGATCACAACCCAACCTCCTCATTACTATTAACTATTGATCCTCAACCACACCCACTACAATACAACTGCCAGCCTCACTAGGGCATTCAGAGTCGCTGGATTCAGCCGTAATAACCTCCTTTTCACCCGCTTCGATTTGAGCCCGATGGATATCCCTGATGTTCGCAAACTTCGTGTTGGGATCGATCTGAACAGTCTTCCTCTTCCTAACTGCAGCGTTGGTAACTTGAGCCCTCAGGTGAGCCAGCTGCTGCTGGGCAGCTGCCAGTTGCCAGGCCTGCTCTGTGAAGCCTTTTTTCACCTTCCTGAACAGCAGCCGTTGAGTGCTGGTATCATTGTCGAGTTGGGTGTATAAGTGCAGTTGACCGCTGAGCTCTGCCAGCTTCCTGGGTGTCGACCAGACCACTGCAGAGGAAGCAGAATCCCATGGCTCAACAGGGTAGTTTGTTGACCATTATGGCATCGCTTTTGCCCCGACTGGTTGGTTTGGGTGTGGTGGGCTTAGCAGAAGGCTCAGGTAATACCATAGGGTTCATCAGGGGCTTAACCATCGCTACAGGGTGTAGACCAGTCCACTTCCAACCACTTCTGATGTTCGAGACTGATAGACCAGCAAGTCGAGCCTTCTGGTAACAGTCCAGGAAGTTCCTTTTACCTATAATGGTAGAGTCGTTCCATTGAGACAAGTAACCGAGCTCCTTCCGATAGGCTGACTTAACAGGGCTGAAGACAGACTGGTCAAGTGGCTGGAGGACATGAGAGAGTGTGTGGTAAGAACAGTAAATGGATATTGTTAATATAGCAATTCCACATGAAGTCTGTCGTCGTATGACTCCCATGCCCATCCACAATCAACAGTCGAGCCTCGCCCTCAGCCTCGGGCATAGTCTGTGGGATAAACACCTTCTCTAACCATTCAATGGCAGTTAAGTCTGTAGTCCAGCCATTATCTGTTGCTGTAAACTCCCACCCATCGTATGGAACCAGATGTAATGGAAACCACTGTTGTTGGACCGTCTTCCCTTGAAAATGATAAGAGGACGAAGTGCCCTACCCAAGGCTGAGATACACTCAATGATAGAGACCCATGCCCTCGACCCAGGTTGTTTCTTGCGAACAGACGTCGTCTCAGCCATGCCCAGCACTAACCCATTAGCTCCTGACCCTCGAGGATGCCAGTCTCATCCATATTATATCTGTTGGCTGGTTTGATGTCCTTGATCTCAGGGATAGCAAGGAACTTAAACCAGTTCCTAATGACCTCAGTAGATGCCCCATTAACGCGTCTAGAATCGATGGAACGACTTCTCTGAACCTTAATGATAGGGTTCCTTCTCACGAAGGCATAGATCCAGCCTTTTCCTAATGGTTTGGTATCCCCAGCAGCAGCCAGAACTCGCTCTGCGAATTCCTTCACCTGTTGGTGCGTTGGTGCGAGGCCCAGCGAAGCCTGAATGCGAACCCATTGTGCCAGCTTACTCTCCTGGTCAGGAGACAGCCTCTGCCAGTCAGCAAAGCCACTTTCCTAGTCTGACCACCTTGGAGACGTAGTTGGAGGGTTGATCGTGGTATCCCATACTCCAATGAGGCTCTCTTTTGACTCTTGCCGTTTGAGATGTCCTCGAGAGCCTGACGAAGCTGATCTTCGGTATATTGAGGCATTAGATATAGAAGAAGGTATGTGCAAAAAATGAGCCCATTTGGACTCGAATTGAAAATGTTGTGATAAAAGGAGGTTGGGGGTGGGCATTGCGTTGTGGTGGATTTTCGCGTTTTTGTGGGTGCCAGAAACAGGGGGGTGCCGGGAAGTGGGGGGTTTGACTTATCACGCTGGCACAACTGGGGACTATGTTAAATCTCACGGGACCGCCGTGTTGGGGATGGAGGGTGGGGGTGGATAGACATAACCCGCACCTGATAGTCTCAGCCTTTCACAGGTCATCCATCTTCCGTCGACATTAATTGGCGGTCACTTCCTCGGAAGGACTGCTCTCCCACCGGCCTTGAGCAGGGGGCTGTCGGTAGCCCGACCCTGTCCGTCTCCAGTGACCCGGACCGGGACCCCACATCATTTTCCTCCGGCTGCTGGTTGAAATTTAGAGGTGAGGGGACGTGAAAACCGCCTTCCCTAAGTGCTAGCGTTGTATGCCCAACAATCTTAATTTGTTTTGTAGTGTCGATATCATTAGGAGCCTACAGCACCTCAAAGTGCTTTACATACGGTAAGCGCCGATACGTCGTGCCCGAATCAGCGAGATTCAAGGAGAATCAGGTTTCAGCATCCGAATCCTTGCTTTTACGTCTACTCAGATGTGGCCTTATTCCGTCGATTGGTTCCTAGACGTCTACGAGAAAATGTTCGAACATGTTCTTTTCTTATAGGGCTGACAGACACAATGAGTATGGCCGTCTACAAAGTTATCGTCACATGTCTAGACCTGCGAAGCCGTTCAAGCAGGCCGCTCTTGAGATTCCGTGCCCATAGCCCCGACCCTATGTAAGCGCCACCAACTCAAATCCAGTGATTTCGTTCCAGATTTGCGTTTTACCGGGCGAACAGATGATTATTCTCTGTGATTCTCCGAAGGACCCAGTTCCTTCGCCAGCCCTGTTATATGGCAAGAATAGGATTCTAAGACGGGAGTGCCAGATTCCCCACTACCATTAACTCCAAGATAGCTTGAAGATATACACAAATTCGTACTCTCATGGGTGATGAGAATGCATTACTTAGATGAACTATGTAATGCTATGGTCTTGAGTGTTGCCTCTGGGGAAAAGCCCATCCCATTAATGTTCACTGTGAACGCCATCAAGTAGTCCCTGATATCGAGTCACAATCCCTCGCCTATTAAGCTTCCCAACAGCTGTCGTCAAGCCCTGGATTCAATATCAGTCTCGAACTACTTGATGTCATGACGCAGTTCTGAGTGGGGCACTAACATTCTGAGGAGTCCACTCTGCATCGTCAACAAGCACAATTGCCTCGACTACCTCAATCGAGGCAAGCCCGGCTTCTTGAGCAATCTGTTGCAACTGAATGAGGGCATCATGCACGACAAGTGGATGTCGTGTGAGTGCTGATACTTTACAGTGGGTATCTAAACCATGTCTCTTGACCAGTTCCTTCAAGGCTGGCGGTGAAGGAATGACTATAGCTGTGGGCTTTGCGCGGTGAGGCGATGCATGTATGCAGATATTGGCCACCAGATTTGCAGAGCGGTAGATAGACTCTAGCTGGAATGAGTGAGTCGTGGTCAGTATACATAACATCCACAGGCAAGAAACTGACACTTCATGCCACCCGGCGTCATACCTTTTCAAGCGCGATGTACTCTCCGTTGAGTGTCTTGACGAGGTTCTTCTTCCGGTCAATGATTCTGAAATGAGTATCGTCGCCGCTGCATGTGGGTTCCCACTGCCCAATGTCGCCGGTGCGGAGCCAACCGCCGGGCGCGACTGCACTCTTGGACTCATCGTCGTTGTCATAGTACCCCACCATAACACTATCGCCCCGTATCCAGATCTCTCCTTGTGATGGAGTGTTACTGGTGAGGTAGCCTGCATCAGGGTAGTCAACCAGTTTCATTTCTATGCTGGCCGGGATGCTCAGAGACCCTGGTCGCCATTGCCCGGGATCCATCAGACCACCCATGCTGAAGGTTATCAAGACATTAGCTTTGGTCCAGCTTCGAACTCAGGCTATAGAGTGCTTGGACTTACGCCATTGTCTCGGTCAAGCCGTATCCGTTGACCAAAGGAGCCATCACCATGGTCAAGAAGTTCTGCGTGCTTTCCGCTACGGGCCCGCCGCCTGACATGGCGAATCGTAGGCGGGACCCTACCACCTTACTGGCGGCGGACGACAAAGTTCCATTGAAGCGGCCTGTCCCGGCCAAGCCGGTTGCGGCCCACACTTCTTTTGCTTTCAGCCACGACCAGAAAGCAAGTCTGTCAATCAAGCCTGAATTTGCGACGCTGGAGAAAATTGCCTTTTTAATCCTTTCCCAGATGGCAGGGACACCGATCATAAAGGTAGGCTGGAAAGCATGTAGGTCTCCCACTTCGAGAGTGCCGGATGGAGTGATATGGTCGAATAGCGTACGGGCACCACCATAGCCCATTTTTACACCCCAGAAGAAACAGCTGTTTTCGAAGGCGAATTCAAGAACATGAGCTAATGGCAAGTATGCGAGGAAAGAGTCGGCAGGCGATAGATAGTCACCGATCACAGAGTCAAGGCCTGTGACTGTTGGCTGGTCAGACAAGTGTTCATGATATTATGAGGGGAAGAAGATCAAGTATCGTGGCGAATCAGGGGGTGACTTACCTGCCGCTACAACGGCCTTGTGTTTCACTGGAACTCCTTTCGGTATTCCTGTAGACCCAGAAGTGTAGTAGATGGCGCAAAGATCCTCCCTATCAGGTTGAACAGGCTCACTCATCTTGCTCCGGCCTACCTGACATAGCTGGCTGAAGTTGAGTATCTCAAGCCCTGGTCGTGTCTTCTTGAGTTCGAACAAGCCTTTGATCCACTCAGCACCTGAATCACATGTACCACTTAGCTGTTCGTTATAGACTATAACCTCAACTCGAGGAAGAGCTTTGTTTGTCATCGCAGAAGTCACCTTTTGACAGAGATGGTGATCCACGAAAATGGCTTTGGCGCCTGTGGACTCTAGAGAATGCTCGAGGCCAGCAAGGCCCAGAGCTTCGTAGGCTGTCACGAAAACCATGGACTGTGAAGATGCTCCATGAGCGATTGATAGCCATTGCGGGCTTCGTGGTGTTCGTCAAATTCGGGATTTCCAGAAGAGTCTGCAGGGGAAACCTGCCTTGTTGCTGCGTAGACGAGAATCTTATCAGTTCTCTGGAGACCGACCGCCCGCAAACCAGATCCTACATCACGAATCACAGTAAGATGATCTCGGTATGATATGTAAGTGTACTTTTTATGCACTATTAGCCGTCCAGTCGTATGTGAATCTGGCAGGGCTTGTCACTCACCAGGGAATCTCCTGGCGATCTGATTTTTGCATTTGTGTTTTCGGTCCCACTTGCCCGTGTACTCAAAGCAGGCTTGTCTCCATATGTCTCTGCCGCCCAATTGACTATGTCATAAACTGTCTGTATCTTGTTGTTGGGCTGCGACAATAAGCCGGGTCTACCGGCAAGCTTGGCGTTTCTTTGTGGCCGGGTCTCGGCCGGAGTAAGTGGGGCTCTCGGTACTGCAGTGGAGAACGGGGCGGAACCAGATGCCCGGGCGCTGGATTCCGGGGACACCGTCATTGTGCTGGATGGAGTCTACTTGTGGGCAAAGTAAGACGATGCACATGACCAGTGAAACGGATTGTTCAAGCGTTGAGTTTTAATTGCCGCAACATTTGCTACAGGAGCCGTGTACATGATTTCTCGGGCGATTTTTGTTTGTCGGGTGTAAGCGCTACGCCCCATTTTTAGTCCCCGAATCCCGTCGCAATGCGTATAAGCTTCCATTCTAGAAAAAAATGACCCGCCACAGAAACAAATCCACCCGCTGGTCTTCTTAGAGAATCTCATAGGGGAGCAATTGCATCTACTGAGTCGAAAATATCACAGACGAAATCTCAAAATACCCGCGTGCAAGCTGTTGTGCTTCTCTCGACCGAGCTGATAGCGTGGCCCAAGCCTTTAGAATGGCGACCCGCACAAGGCCAGTCGACCTGAGTCCGTCTGCCCATCCTTTACATAGCCTGCCCTGTTCATCGATCGACCATGCATCGCTAGATACTCCAGTAGGCCCAAAGAGAAGACCCTCGGGGTCATATTTAGACTTGGTGGCCTGCAGCCTCGGGTAGTTTGCCCCATAGAAATCCTCCTTCCAGGTTTTGAGCTGGAAATCGCCCTCATTCGAATAAGTCCCGGAATCAAGCGTAAGTTCTCTCAGTCTCGGCACAACGACGTCGGTGATTTCGTCGGCACGGCGTTGTCCGTCTGCTCTAAGCGCACTAAAGTTCCACGTAGACTGTGCGAGTACAGTGATTAGGGTGTCTCGCCAGGCCGGCAGCACGGCATTGTCCGCAACGGGTTCCCGTCCAGGCTCCTGCTTCACATCTAGAGCAACAAATCCCAGAAAAGCATCCGTGTCTTCGAGAATGCTGCGAAAGGCCCCGACAAGAGCGGTGCTGTTCTCCTCGACAGTTGCGCGCGGAATCATCCTTCCGCCAAAGAGGTGGTGGATCGTGTAGGGACCTCGGGGCAGAGGTCCGCCGTGCTGACTGTAATGTTCCAAGAATGTGGGCTCCGATGTCACTTCGAGCATGTACTGTACGTCCAGCTCATCGAGTCGATCGACCAGCGGGCTTATCAACCCGGAGACCTGCTTCTTGGTCCACCCAGGGAGGGTAATAGGTGCGATGAAGAAGGCGTCCTTGGTGACGGCGTATCCAGCTGTCCCACCGGCTGTAGTGAGACTAGGAAGGAGGTCTTGCCAGCTTTTGAAAAAATCCCAGAAGTCATCTTTCGCCACCCCAGCGGTCGAGAATGCCAGAGTCGCACCTCCGATTAAACCGTCGGGGTATGCCCTCACTGTTACCGAGATCACGACGGCGTAGGTACCAGGTCCGCCTCCGCTCAAGGCCCAGTACAGATCTGAGTGCTGCAGAGGTGTCGCCACCAGATGTTCTCCGGAAGGCGTGATGACTTCCCACTCAAGGACTTGGTCGGCTCCGAGCCCATACTGTGAGCTCAACGGACCGTGGCCTCCGCCTTGGGTATAACCGCCAGCGACGCCTACCGTCGGGCAGAAGCCTCCAACCACACGAAGGCCTTTGTTGGCGGCAGCCGTGTAGGCTTCCAGGCCACGCACGCCAGCGCCCATACGGATGGCGGGACCGGTGTATGTTTCGCTTGCAAAATCCAGCACTTCTATCGAACGGAGGCTACTTGTCCATAGGGCGAGCCCTCCTTTTGCGGTGGACTTTCCCATGTAACTTGCAAACGAATGTTAGTAATTGTCTCAAGAACTTCAATCCGATGTGGCTTGTTACGCACTCATGTCCCGTGTTCTTGATGGCTAGCCGGAGGGAGTGCCTGCGTACGAATGAAAGACCTTGCACCACGTCTTCTGCATTTGTTACGTTGATAGCGTAGGAAACGCTATGGCCTAGCGTACAAGGGATGTCAACAGGACTGAATGGATCGCAGCTCGAGTTCTGCCAGTAGGGGCTCTGGATGCCGCCTGGCCAAGATTCGCTGCAAATACATGTCAGACTGTATGACCCGAGCAAGGAATCACTATGGTGTCAAAGCTCACTGAATCTCTGGCCAGACCCAGTCCTCGCGAATAGCCGCGCATTCGGCCTCGTCATAGTTTGGGTCGTGGCAGACGAACGCCGGAGGAACTGGAGCAATGAGACGACCGCCCACAGAGGCGTTAAGATCCTGCCATCGCAACTCGGATGGCCAACAGCTATCGCCGTCAGTACATGTGCAGAATGGGCGGTCCCAGCTGGAATAGTTTAGTCCCAGAATAAAGGCGGCTGTAATTGCCAGCCCCACGATTGAGAGTGGCCCGAAAAATTGCGATCGAAATCTCATTGCTAAAATAGATGAGCACTGGGAGCCAACTATGCGGATGTATAAGTCAAACCCCCCACTTCCTGGCACCCCCCTGTTTCTGGCACCCACAAAAACGATGGGATCACAACCCAACCTCCTCATTACTATTAACTATTGATCCTCAACCACACCCACTACAATACAACTGCCAGCCTCACTAGGGCATTCAGAGTCGCTGGATTCAGCCGTAATAACCTCCTTTTCACCCGCTTCGATTTGAGCCCGATGGATATCCCTGATGTTCGCAAACTTCGTGTTGGGATCGATCTGAACAGTCTTCCTCTTCCTAACTGCAGCGTTGGTAACTTGAGCCCTCAGGTGAGCCAGCTGCTGCTGGGCAGCTGCCAGTTGCCAGGCCTGCTCTGTGAAGCCTTTTTTCACCTTCCTGAACAGCAGCCGTTGAGTGCTGGTATCATTGTCGAGTTGTGTATAAGTGCAGTTGACCGCTGAGCTCTGCCAGCTTCCTGGGTGTCGACCAGACCACTGCAGAGGAAGCAGAATCCCATGGCTCAACAGGGGTAGTTTGTTGACCATTATGGCATCGCTTTTTGCCCCGACTGGTTGGTTTGGGTGTGGTGGGCTTAGCAGAAGGCTCAGGTAATACCATAGGGTTCATCAGGGCTTAACCATCGCTACAGGGTGTAGACCAGTCCACTTCCAACCACTTCTGATGTTCGAGACTGATAGACCAGCAAGTCGAGCCTTCTGGTAACAGTCCAGGAAGTTCCTTTTACCTATAATGGTAGAGTCGTTCCATTGAGACAAGTAACCGAGCTCCTTCCGATAGGCTGACTTAACAGGGCTGAAGACAGACTGGTCAAGTGGCTGGAGGACATGAGAGGAGTGTGGTGGTAAGAACAGTAAATGGATATTGTTAATATAGCAATTCCACATGAAGTCTGTCGTCGTATGACTCCCATGCCCATCCACAATCAACAGTCGAGCCTCGCCTCAGCCTCGGGCATAGTCTGTGGGATAAACACCTTCTCTAACCATTCAATGGCAGTTAAGTCTGTAGTCCAGCCATTATCTGTTGCTGTAAACTCCCACCCATCGTATGGAACCAGATGTAATGGAAACCACTGTTGTTGGACCGTCTTCCCTTGAAAATGATAAGAGGACGAAGTGCCCTACCCAAGGCTGAGATACACTCAATGATAGAGACCCATGCCCTCGACCCAGGTTGTTTCTTGCGAACAGACGTCGTCTCAGCCATGCCCAGCACTAACCCATTAGCCTCTGACCCTCGAGGATGCCAGTCTCATCCATATTATATCTGTTGGCTGGTTTGATGTCCTTGATCTCAGGGATAGCAAGGAACTTAAACCAGTTCCTAATGACCTCAGTAGATGCCCCATTAACGCGTCTAGAATCGATGGAACGACTTCTCTGAACCTTAATGATAGGGTTCCTTCTCACGAAGGCATAGATCCAGCCTTTCCTAATGGTTTGGTATCCCCAGCAGCAGCCAGAACTCGCTCTGCGAATTCCTTCACCTGTTGGTGCTGCGAGGCCCAGCGAAGCCTGAATGCGAACCCATTGTGCCATTACTCTCCTGGTCAGGAGACAGCCTCTGCCAGTCAGCAAAAGCCACTTTCCTAGTCTGACCACCTTGGAGACGTAGTTGGAGGGTTGATCGTGGTATCCCATACTCCAATGAGGCTCTCTTTTGACTCTTGCCGTTTGAGATGTCCTCGAGAGCCTGACGAAGCTGATCTTCGGTATATTGAGGCATTAGATATAGAAGAAGGTATGTGCAAAAAATGAGCCCATTTGGACTCGAATTGAAAATGTTGTGATAAAAGGAGGTTGGGGGTGGGCATTGCGTTGTGGTGGATTTTCGCGTTTTTGTGGGTGCCAGAAACAGGGGGGTGCCGGGAAGTGGGGGGTTTGACTTACTTCAGAATGCCTTTACTTCACTTGAAATAGAGCAGGTTTATCGCGAGATAGAATCAGGACGAGAAGCGCTCAACAAGATTCCGCAGTCGCTCAGGCTTGGCCAAGCCCATTATTCCCCGGTATTACTGACAAAAGAACACTATGGAGGATTCTTCTGAAACTTGGACTTAGCGAAAAAATGCCCCGACCGGTTTGGATGAATTCCGTGTGGCCCGATGCTGACATCCCTTCTGGCTACCTTGCCGGCAACAAAAAAGGACTTTTCACCGAAGACCGGTCAGAGTGAACCCAACCAAGATGTAAGTAACTTTTGAAAGGGAATCATCTCGAAAGAGCAAGGCTTTGACTTTGGTCTAGTCATAACTTGTTCGGTCGTCACTATCCTTTCCAGCCCTCTCGCTGATCCTGTCAACAGCCGACATTTGCCCCATCGAAACCGCACAATCATTCTCAAGCACCTCGGACATCAGTAAACATGATGAGTGCTATATCGACGCCCGACACTCGCTCTCCTGCCGCTATCTATGGCATTATAGGGCTCGTGTGTACCACCGTGTACCTGCTCTCTCTGGCTATATACCGTTTGTACTTCAGCCCGCTTGCCAAGTTTCCAGGGCCGAAGCTGGCCGCCTTAACTCAGTGGTACGAGGCCTACTATGAGCTCTTCACCGGCGATGGCGGCCAATTCATCTGGCATTACGCTAAGTTGCATGAGGAATATGGTGAGTGGACTTTGACTCAGCAACTCACCGGACACCTTTACGAGTTGCTAACTGGTTTACAAAGGCCCTATTATCCGGATAAACCCATGGGAGCTGCATATCCAAGACTCTAGCTTCTATGATGTGCTTTATTCGTCTTCTAGGCACTCGAGCAAGCTGACCACCCTCGCTCACCGTTTCAACAGTCCAGAGTCGGCCTTCTCGACTGTTAATCACTCCAGACATCGCCAGCGGCGAGCGGCTTTGAACCCCTTTTTCTCCCATCGCAGGATCGCTGAGCACCAGCCCAACATCCAGCGAATGATGCATCGCCTCACAGATCGCGTCACGCGGGAATACTTGGGCAAAGACAAAGTGTTACGTATCGATCAAATGTGGGGATGCTGGACGTCGGATATCATCAACGACTACGCTTTCGACAAGCCGCATAATTTCCTTGACGCTCCAGACTTCCACGCGAGTTACACAGATGCAATGGTTGATCTTCTGGAGCCTGTTCACTATATCACGCAGTTTCCCCTAATGACGAACCTATTCAAGATGCTCCCACTGTCGTGGGTCAAGGCAATGTCTCCTCAAATGGGAACTGTGCTAGACTTCAACAATGTTAGTAGTTGGCCAGGCCAGAGATACGGAATGAGCTGACTTTCGGTTCATATGCGACATTTTGCTAATGTTTTATACGCTTGAATAGGAAATGACAAACCAGATCCGCATCCTCTTAAACAAGCCGGCAGAAGAAAAGGGGCAATCCAAGACTATTTTTGGTGTTATCCTCGAGTCAGACCTCCCAGCCTCGGAGAAGACGGTTGGCCGTCTCCAGCAAGAGGCAATCAGCGTGACTGGCGCTGGTATCGAGACGACGATGCGGGCTCTCAGTCTGTGCACATTCCATGTCCTAGCAAACCCCCCAGTGCTAGAAAAACTCCAGGCCGAGCTCAAAGAAGCTATTGTGGACCCCAGAAACCCTCCCGACTGGGATGCGCTCTCTCAATTACCATATCTCTCAGCCTGCATTAACGAAGGTGAGTGCAGTTTCTCGACATAGCTGATTACAGGTGAAATCTGCTGACCAAAATCATCCTAAAGCCCTTCGATTCGCATATGGAACGTCTCAGCGACTCCCTCGCACGCTCGAGGACGAGCCTCTCCGTTACGGCGAGTGGCTCATCCCCGTAGGCGCCACCGTGAGCATGGACAACTACGCCGTGTCCCACGACGAGGCTATTTTCCCAGACAACATGACCTTCCGCCCGGAGCGCTGGCTGGGCGACCCAAAGGCTCCTGATGGGAAGAAACTCTCGCGATACATGGTCGCTTTTGGTCGCGGGACGCGCTCCTGCGTGGGCATGCAGCTCGCGTGGGCAGAGCTGTACACGGGCATTGCGACGCTGTTCCGTAGGTTCAAGATGGAACTCTACGAGACGGAGCGGGATGCGATGGATCTGCACATGGACCGATTTGTGCCGCGTCCTAAACCGCATACTCTTGGAGTGCGGGCTCTGGTTAAAGAAGATCTGTATCAGTGACTGATTGCCGTTGGAAAAGACTGAAGATGTTGGGAATGTTTTGGGCAAGATGCTGTCAATCTGTCGTTACCGAGCTCTATAAGTACCTATACTCTTTTCACAGAAACTTGCCAGCTTCAGTGGGGAAAGTCGGTGAAGACTTTTTGCCACGTAAAAGTCGTGTATCATCAATCTAGGACATGAATTAGAATCGCCTTGATGATTGATAGTGACGGCATCTAGATAAAATGCGTTGCGACTTAAGGTTTTAGACACGCAAGTGAGTATGTAGGACTAGGCTCTCTGAAGGCTTCTGAACCTTTATTTCCACCTCAATCCTATCTGTTAGAAACATTCTGAAACGTACTGTTATGTTCTAAGAGCCAATATTGTGAAGTGATCTTCGTTCTATTCCATTCGTAACATCACTGCAACTTGCGAGCGTAATATTTGTATGATATTCAAGCAAATCATTGTAGCGAGTTACTCAATTAAGACACGAAAGAAACCCTGAGAAAGATAATAACAGAGAGAAAAAAATGAACCAGAGAGCCTAAAAAGAACGAGTGTCTTTATTCCTTCTTCTTCATCTTGGAAACGATCTTCTCACACAGCGCTGTTAGTGACGTGGCGCTGGTGATCTCTAGCGTTGTCAACTCAACTCCGAGATCCAGCCTGACCCAATTTCGTAGCTCTACTGCAGACAAAGAGTCCAAACCATAACTACTAAGTGGCTTGGCAGGTTCCATTGGTTCCGACAAGCGAAGGGTGGCCTGGAACTGCGTGTTCACGACGTCCACAGCGGCCTTTAATACGACCGAGGAGTCTGCACTGGATTGCAGTAACAGCA